GTGTCCGACAGGCGGTCAACACCGAAGTGAACGCAATGATGGCCATCCGGTTCGCCGGCATCGTTGAGCTGTACTGTGCCATCGCTTTGGCCGATCACAACCAGTGGTTCCTATTCATGGAACTCGCCGACGGAAATCTTCAGCAACTGATCCGACTGAAGAAGAAACAGGACAAGAAGATTAGTTACCCGTTGGCCATGAAATGGATCAAAGCGTTGGCTCAGTGTCTGCTGTATTTGCACAAACATAATGTCACTCATTCGCGGATCAAACCATCAAACGTTCTCTTCTTTATAGCCGTTGACAACAACGAGGAGAATCTGACGGTAAAGTTGACAGACTTTGTGTCGGCAGAAGTGAAACCAAAGCCCAATAAAGAAGAGACAGAACTAATGAACGATCGCATGGATGAGGACCTCTTCGACATGTATTTCGTGTTCACAGAGATCTTATCGATCAGTAAATTCGAGTCCACTTCGAAGGAACAGTCGACCAATGAATGTCTCAATAAATTGGTTCACACGGAGGACAAGTCCACTAAACTCTTGGAGTCTTTGATCGCTTCCTCATTGTTCCCAAAATAAATTTTCATAAATCGATTCAACACTTTATTTAACAAATAAATTGAAACTTAAATTATTTATTACAAAAAAATACAATAAAACATATTTTGCTACAAAAAAGCGATCATTATTTAAGTTTTCTTAAGGGAATCACTTTCTTGAAGATATCACTCCAATCATGAGTGGAACCATTGGATGCAAATGACATGATTTCAAACACTAAATACAAAATATTAAAACAAACAATTAATTAACAATTGTAACTGTTCACTACAGAAGTTATGTTTGGCACTAATTGTCGGTTTTGGGAAGAAACACAGTAAAGTTACCTAAGCAGCTAGCCTTCAGAGCGCACAGAATGCCGGACAGCCTGTCGGTAAGGTACTGATAAACCCTTATACTTGTTGTGATCGACTAAACCGCCGATTATGAACACATAGTCATTGGCGGCCACAATGTCTTTGGGGTCAGGGATTACGTCCTCCGAATCACTCGTCAGATAAATGATTTTGCTTTTATCGGTAAACACTTGCGTCCAGTGGCTGTCCAGACACACGGCGTCCCAATTGGTGAATCCGGGCTGACATTTGGTCAACACTTCCCGCACTTTAGACACAACGGATGTGATGTAGAGCTGAACCGGTGCTGAAGAGTGTCTATTGAAGGCATAGCAGCGGCCGATCTGTTTGACCAACTTCTTCATGTCCTTCTCCTCCATATAGTCCTCGAAATCGCAATCAATACAAACACTGACTTTGCATTTGGACGAAGACATTGGGATGTATTGCTTCTTCAGTGCGGTTCTGGACATCACTTCCACGCCTTCCTCTCGCAGTCTCTTAGCCTTCAGTTTCTTTCTCTCCTTTTCCTGTCGTCTCTTCTCTGGTCTCGAGTCCAACCATTTCTGGTGTCTCTGAAGTCTCTTCATCTGCTTTTTGGACATCTCTTGTTTCGGCTCACCGTTTGTGTCATCGCTTTGCGGAACCGTTTCGTTGGACTCGTTGTCACACTTTGTCTCCATTTCTTTGACTTAATATTTAAAGNTCTGGTGTCTCTGAAGTCTCTTCATCTGCTTTTTGGACATCTCTTGTTTCGGCTCACCGTTTGTGTCATCGCTTTGCGGAACCGTTTCGTTGGACTCGTTGTCACACTTTGTCTCCATTTCTTTGACTTAATATTTAAAGTGATTTCTAAATCAATTCAAACGAAACCACAATTTGTGGTCAAAATTGAATCAAATGTTTGTCTATTTGTTTACAAATCGCTTGCATTTCAATCACATGTTTAACACGTTTTTGTTAACCGTATATAACGTTACGATTTATTTGTTTCAACTTTTTTTCATTAAACTTTGAAATTAGTTAAATAATGTGTTTAACGATAGGATCACTGATTAGTGAATCGTGTAATTAATAAGAAGTATTAATTTATATAAAATATATATTGTTTATCGGATTACTGCTAAAGTTATTGTCATTTTTATCTTATAAGAACGTCAAAATATTAAATATTTATAAAAAGGCAATTCATAAGATTACACATATTTATTTAATTTTTAAATATTACAATTATCTAATGCTAATTTAGTTTATTTAAATAATCATATTATTATATCTTGTCTCTTAATTAGCCGTAATATATTTTTAAATACTTTTATTTATTAAATATATTATTTGTTACGATAAGAAAATGCAGACTTTGGTGCGTGAAGACCGCCGCCGTCGACCATCACATCGGTTCCCGTCACGAATGAACACTCGTTTGAAGCCAAGAACACAATCATATTTGCGATATCAATAGATTCGCCCACTTTTCTCAATGGATATGTCTTCGCTCTGTCTTCCAATAGGAGTTCGTAGTGCTCTTTAGAGGTGCCCATCGCTGGACCAAAGTTTGTACGAACGGCACCCGGACTATGCATTACCGCATTTTGTATGATTAAGGATAATATCATTAATAATATTAATTTAATATTTATTTATCTTATAAATCAATGTTAACAATGCAAACCTAATTACATTAACACGAATGCCTTTCGGTCCCAATTCCAGTGCCAAACATTTAGTGAACATATTTAGAGCACACTTTGACATACAGTATCCAAACATCGGTCCGTTCTGTCATTAAAACACAATTTTATAGTTTTAATATAAATAAATATTTCAATACATACGGGTTTATGTGCGGCAGTACTCGAGATATTTATTATATTTCCTTTAGTTTTCTCCAAGTGTTCAACCGATAGATGAGTTAAATAGACGACTGAACGCAGATTTGTATTCATAAGATTGTCGTATTTTTCCATAACATTTGTATCGGTTAGTGTCGTAACATTTCCAGAGCCGGCGTTATTAACCAAAATATCCAGTTTTCTAAACGATTTAATTGTAGAGTCGATGAGACGCTTGCAATCATCGTCTTTACTAATATCTGCCAACACTTCCAGTGGTTTCAATCCTTTCGGCGATACTTTCTGGCAATCTTTGGCCACTTCTGACAAATTTTGAGCGTTTCTTCCGGTGATCACGACCTGAGCGCCCGATTTAGAGAACTCGACTGCAGTGACGGCTCCGATACCACTACTCGAACCCGTAATCACAACAACAAATCTTTGGCCACTTCTGACAAATTTTGAGCGTTTCTTCCGGTGATCACGACCTGAGCGCCCGATTTAGAGAACTCGACTGCAGTGACGGCTCCGATACCACTACTCGAACCCGTAATCACAACAACCTTTCCACTGAAATCGCGATTCATTTTATTAAAAATAATTATATAATTTAAAAAATTAGTTATAAAAATAAAGTTAACTTTATATAAATCCAATAAATTGATAATAAGAGGTACAGCATTTGGATGATAAGTATGAATTCAATGTTTTATACTGATAAAAATTAGTTAATATGTCAAGTGTGTATTATCTTGACATTAATATTACACAATGTATTTCACTGATTGTTCATTTTAACTCGTTATGATTTTTGCAATAATATTACGCTCTTTTTAAATAATGAAAATATGTAAGTCTTTTAATTAAAACTAAAGAATAAAAATAATATTTATTATACACTTCTATTATGAAAAATGTACGATTGTTTTTAATTTATAAATTAACAATTTTTTGTATTTATGCTGTATTATTAAATGTTACACATTTTTTAGATAAATTATTGAAAAATATTGATAAAGATTTATCATAAATACTGCAAAACACTAATATTAATATAATAATGCAATTCATATAAAGAATTATTGATTTAATTTTAAGCCACTTTCGAGGACAGCTGTCGGCGCGTAAAGACTTCCGCCATCGGAGACGAAGTTAATTCCCGTCACAAATGAGGACTCGTCTGAAGCCAAGAAGAGGATGACATTCGCGATGTCAATGGATTCACCCACTCTTCCCAATGGGTAACTCTTTCCCAATGCATTCAATATGAACTCAAACTGTGGTTTTGAGAGACCCGCTGCCGTTCCGAAGTTGGTTCGCACGGCTCCCGGACTGTAACAACAATTATTATATAGAAAACATGGTAAATAATTTTTAAAAATAATGAATTAATTACTTGACTACATTAACTCGGATGCCTTTGGGACCCAATTCAAGTGCCAGACATCGACTGAACATATCGAGAGCACTCTTTGAACAACAATATACTAAAGACTTTGCATTCTGTTGTTTTGACGAAGTTTTACAGTGTATTGGAATTGATGGAAATATTTAATAAAATGCTAAAACTAATGCAATTTTATGATAAACAATATTTACGGGTCGTATTCCAGCGACGGCTGAAACGTTGATTATATTTCCTTTGGTTTTTTCCAAGTGTTCAACCGATAGATGAGTTAAATAGACGACTGAACGCAAGTTTGTGTCCATAACCGCCTGGAATTCGTCCATAATATTTGGGTCTGATATTGATTTGAAGCCTCCTTTCGCCGCATTGTTGACCAAAATATCCAATTTTCCAAAGGATTTGATTGTGGAGTCTATGAGACGCTTGCAGTCCTCATCTTTGCTGACATCCATTACAACTTCCAATGCTTTCAATCCTTTCGGTGATATTTTTTGACATTCTTTCGCTACTTCTGAAACATTTTGAGCGTTTCTTCCGGTGACGACAACCTGAGCGCCCGATTTGGAGAATTGGAGGGCAGCGGCGGCTCCGATACCACTACTCGAACCCGTGATCACAACAACTTTTCCGCTAAAATTATGAGAAGTTGACATTATTTTGCAAAATATCTTTAAGTAACTTTTATAATATTTAAAATAATTGTATTAATTGTATGATTGGATAAAATAAATTGAAACGACTTTTATACTAAAATCAAAACAGTCCTTAATGCACCTTGGTTTAGTACTTAATGATTTAGTACCTTGTGTATAAGTAGCATAGTCATTATCAGAATTATTAGTTTATATTGTTTAGTACGCAAACTCGGCAACTTCTTAATAGTGTATTGTAATGGGAATTTAATTTATTGGATTAATTATAAGCTATTACTTATAACATAAATTTATATCAATAGTATTTACTGGTACTTATCAAATAAAATTCCTAATTCATTAAGGTGTGAATATTTTATAACAAAATGTGTTCACCGCTTGATATCTGTTAATTTTATAGGCATAAAGGAGGTTGGGCAAAATTAATGTTAACTATACAGTTATAACTTATAGGTTATAACTGTATAGTTAACATTAATTTTAAGAATAACTTATAAGAATAATTAAAGTAAAATCATTGGGCATATCGTGTTAGTCATAATACTTTATGTATACAATAAATATGGATTCATTTGGATTTTATTAATTAAAATTAATATTAAAAATATCTTATAATAGTTTTAATAATTACAGTACATTATAGATGAACAAAATATAGAGAATTGATTTAATTATGTTTGAGTAGATTTGGATCATAAGAAACGGGTTTAACAGAACCGCACGCATCGCCGCCATCGACGAAAAAGTTGGATCCGTTCACAAATGAGCACTTGTCTGACGCCAAGAATAGGACAGCATTGGCCACATCGGTAGGCGTGCCCTGTCTTTGCAGAGGAATTGACTTTTCCTGATCGGCAAACATCTGGTCAATCAATGGTCGACTCAATCCCATCGCAATCGCTATATTGGTATTGACAGCCGCGGGACTACCGATTAAACAGTCAATTAGTTTTGTTACTTAATTAACGCATTGATAAATACTTGACTGAATTGACACGAATGCCTTTTGGTCCCAATTCAAGTGCCATACATCTGGTGAACATATCGACAGCGCTTTTAGACATATTGTAGAGGAAACACATCGGAAACTAGAAATTAAAAAGTTTTTTGAATTGTAATTATTTTAATTATTCACGATTTGTGGAGTTTGCGTCTAAACTGACAATTTTACGACTGGCGACACTTGAAGTGATAATTATGTTTCCTCTCGTTTTCTCCAAGTGTTTAACCGCTAAATGTGTCAAATAGACGACTGACCGCATGTTTACGTTCATTATTTTGTCATAATTGGCCGCAAT